CATGTTTGAGAAAGATGACGTCTCCAGCAGTAGCAAGTGCTCATAACTTTTGATTTTAGTTTGACTGGACTTTTGTGTATATATTATCTATATACAGCAAGAAGCTATGCTCTGTTTTGCTAGTAGCCTTAACATTTTCCCGTAAAGCGGTCCACTTAATTTATCCACTGGTGCGTTGATAACTTTGACCAAGTTCCAGCACCATAACGTTGAAACTTACTAGCTGTTTTTAAAATCTTGAATGAGTATAGTTCTTTTATGCCAATACTGTGGATGCCTGCCATTCTGCCTCTGTTTCTGGACTGTTTTTTTTTTTTTTAATTTTAATTATTGCGTGATAAGTATATCCGTATAGTCTGCTACAGTTATTCAATTGTTTTCCTGTGTTTGTAGGTTTTGGAATCCATTCAACCACTTATAGTCTATTTTCCAGACTCATCGCAATGGTTGTCTAGAGCTGTGCCTAAATCAAGACGAAAGGAATTTGTAGACAAAGTTCAGGACATGTTTAATAAAATATCAGGTCCGATTGTTATGATATGTGGGCAGAACAAGATAGAAACAGGCTCAAAAGAAAGAGAGAAATTCGTAAGCCTGTCAATCTCTCTCACTCGTCATTTGTTCGGCCTTTGTTCCTAACCAGTGGATGAACAACTTTTTTTCCTTTAACTGAAAACAGACGATGGTACTCCCAAACTTTAGCCAGCTTGCGAAATTGGTAAGCTATTAACGTAACATTTTATTGATATATGTGATATTTTTTTTTATCATGGTGCATTTGTCTTTGCATGAGTTGCTGAGAGATTTCTTATGTCTTGTTAATCCCTCGATGTAAACCATATGTTGAGAACTTGCAAGTTATTCAACATCGTGAACACCCGTTAAATGGCAGCTATGAATTAGTCAAGTTCTGTTATATATTTTGCAACATGTGTAAAACTGTAGATATGGATTTGCTCATTCCATTCTCCTTGACATGATTCTTGCTTCGTTAGTGGGTCTGCATTATTTTTTTTTTTAAGACATCCCTTGCAATGTCATGCTCTTCTTAATATGCATTTGTGTGTTGCAGCCTCTTCCCTTGAAGGGCTTCACTGAGGGATTCACGGGAAGGAAAAGATCAGAGGAGAATGAGATATATAAGCTTTTCACTAATGTCATGCGCCTGCATCCTCCAAAGGTATGCATAATGTCATATGAAAACTGATAACAAAAACAAGTAACTGTTCCCGCATGACTGTAACAATGAATAAGAAGGCGTAGATGTGTTGCTATACCTAAGTGAGATAGCATAGACTAGTTGATTGTGTCCCTTCGAGGCGTAGATGTATGCTTTTGCAAAGCTCCTTTGTCACGTGCTATCCTACTAGCCAAGCATACAGAGCATAAGCTATGTCTAATAGGTTTTTCATCAAGGATACATGTTAAAGGTAGGACGCATAAACCCACTTTGCCAAATCGGTTTTCCGGTACTAGAGATGATCATCATTCTTATGACTCGTCGTAGGCATCAAACATCTATGACTGCCTCTAATATATTTTTCAGAAAATTCATATGACTGATTCCTATCTAGTACTTAAGGAATCATTTTGGTACTTGACTGCTTCCTGTAAATTTTGGTGTAGGAAGAAGATACCCTCAGACTGTTCAAGAAACAACTTGAAGAAGATAGGAGAATTGTGATATCTCGGAGCAATATAAATGAGTTACTTAAGGTGCCTAGATTTAATTCAAATGTCATCGAGAGAAAAACTATAATTTAAATGTCATCGAGGAAACACTGAGTCAAACGTGTAATGTTTCACTAATCGTTGTTTTATTTCCCAGGCACTTGAAGAGAATGAGTTATTATGCACAGACTTATACCAAGTGAACACCGATGGCGTGATATTGACAAAGCAAAGTGCGTAACTCAGGGTGAACTTGGTGGTTTGTTGTGTATTTATTAAGTTGCTGATCGAGAATTTAAGCACTTCTTTGAGCTAGACTGGCATTTACTCTATCATGTACAGTGGCAGTTATTGCTATGGCAAAAATGGGGTTGTTGGGATACTGATGGGAAAATATTTGGGAACAAGAGTACACACTTAGATCCTCAAATTTCGCGTAGAACCGGTGACTTTTTTTGTAAATGAAGTTAATTTATGGTCTGATTAGATTTAGTTGAAATGGATACAGTTCCTTCTGTTTAACGTCAACATATGACTTTAGCCCTTGCTTTCTGAGATGGAATTATTACCGTGACAAAGGGAGCTCAGAAACTTGTGGCGTTTGTTTTTGCAGAAGCAGAGAAAGTTATTGGTTGGGCCAGAAATCATTATCTAGCTTCTTGTCCAGAACCATTGATAAAAGGAGGCCGCCTGTCTCTGCCTCGTGAAAGGTATGCATGATTGTGGCTTTATGTTGTGGATCTGTAAATTTTTCATTTTTTTAATCTTACTGCCTTTTTACCTCTTTTTCAAGCCTTGAGATTTCAATAGAGAGGTTAAGGAAATTTGAAGATAGTTCCCTAAAGCCCTCGCAAAATTTAAAGGTTAGTTTCCCTGCCCTTGGATTCTGGTAAACGTATCTTGAATACTTCGAGTAATAATAGTGTTAAGAGACAATTTCTTACAGAATATGGCAACGGATGAGTATGAACGAAATTTTGTCTCGGCTGTGGTTGCTCCTGGAGAAATAGGCGTCAAATTTGACGACATTGGTGCTCTTGAAAACGTGAAAAAGGCATTGAATGAGTTGGTTATTCTTCCCATGAGGAGGCCAGAGCTTTTCTCCCGTGGAAATCTCTTGCGGGTATTACATTCGATTTGGTACATTGCATTATTTCCTTTGTTTATGTCAGTTACTTCTGTTTAACTTGGCATATATTCCTGATGCCATGGGCTTTTTTCCAGCCCTGTAAAGGAATATTGCTTTTTGGTCCTCCTGGGACGGGTAAGACGCTCCTTGCCAAGGCTCTTGCAACAGAAGCTGGAGCAAACTTCATTAGTATAACTGGCTCAACGCTTACATCAAAGGTACTTGGATTATATCGTATGACAGTGTTTTGTGTCTCCTTGTTGTTGGTGTCTTTGTGTGTGTATGTGTTTCAATTAATTAAGAAGAATGGTTAACTGACTAGGCCTTTATTAATACACTTTTCATAGGAAAAAATGTAGTTTTTGGGACACACTACGATAAATGATTTATGATTACTTTGGTTATTCTCTTCCGGATAATTATGATCTGACCCTGCCTTTTCTCGGTTTCTTGTTTGGTGTTAGTGGTTCGGAGATGCAGAGAAGCTCACTAAGGCTCTATTTTCCTTTGCCACCAAGCTAGCACCTGTTATTATCTTTGTCGATGAGGTGGGAATTCTTTTGTCTAAAATTTGGTTTGTATGCCCTTCACAGGGTTGAATTATGGTTTTCACTCTCTTATGATGAGTGAAATGTGACTGACATGGATATTTGTTGGTTTGATAGATCGACAGTCTGTTAGGTGCTCGTGGTGGCTCTTCCGAACACGAAGCCACTCGAAGAATGAGAAATGAGTTCATGGCAGCTTGGGACGGGCTTAGGTCAAAAGACAGCCAAAGAATCCTCATTCTTGGTGCCACCAACCGTCCCTTTGATCTTGATGATGCTGTCATTCGTCGTCTACCAAGACGGTAGAACCTGATTTTGAGTTTTCATTTCGGTTCTCTGTTGTTTTTGTTTTGCTTGCAGTAATGGTAAAGTGTGAATCCTCATTTAATTGAATGCTTGTTCTTACATGTGAAACTCTAGGATATATGTCGACTTACCAGATGCTGAAAACCGGTTAAAGATACTGAAAATATTTCTCACTCCAGAAAATTTGGAATCCGGTTTTCAATTCGACAAACTTGCAAAGGAAACCGAAGGTTATTCCGGTAGCGATCTGAAGGTTGGTATTGTTTTTTCCGATCCTAGCTTGTAGCGCCGCTTGTAAGTTCTTTGCTTCATATTAACTTGTTGGTTTGATATTGCAGAATCTATGTATTGCTGCTGCTTACAGGCCTGTTCAAGAGCTGTTACAGGAAGAACAAAAGGTACTGAACATAGATTAAAATTAGGACATAGACTGCTCGCTTCCACAGCTTTTGTTGCTTGATGCTTTGCCTTGTTTCTCTCTTTAGGGTGCAAGAACGGATGCGTCTCCTAGTCTACGATCCCTGAGTTTGGATGACTTCATTCAGTCTAAAGCGAAGGTATTTTTATTTGCATCAATTCCAGAAGAAAAATTTGTATATTGATGAGTTTCGTGTTTTTCGGCTTTTGCGTTATCGATGGTTGTTTCGAACCGCAGAGATGTGATTATGATCATATTTGTATTGGTGATGTGGTTTTGCAGGTGAGCCCGTCAGTGGCATATGATGCGACGACAATGAATGAGCTGAGAAAATGGAATGAGCAATATGGTGAAGGAGGGAGCAGGACTAAGTCTCCTTTTGGCTTCTAAAGAAAATTGTCAGTTTTGTTAGATTTAAATTAAAGTGTTACAAAAAAAAAAGTGATTTTCCTTCCTTTTCTGTCTTCCTCTGTTTTTTTTTTCTTTCTTTGTTAGATCATAACTGTAACTCAGTGTTGTATCCGTCTTCAAAAGCTTTTCCAGATTGTATCAGTTATAAAGGAACACGAAACCTATAGAATAACGAAAGTTCTAATTGAAAGATTTATTTTAGAGCACGCACAGTGATCCGAAAAACAAGTTTCTGTATCTCACACGCCCTTAACAGAATCAGGTAGTATAGACTCAACCTTTTTTCAAGGGCCTATACGGACCGGCCTACATTGCCCATTAACCTCACAAGGAAGACCTGGACCTGGGGGTTCAACAGGCACTTATGCGGCCTCAACTAGTCAATATGTTCTGTGACAATCGAGCCTAATTTTCTCTAAACTCTTTTTTTTTTACATTTAGTTTTACAAAGTTCAAATGTCCAAACTCCAACATTAACAGTCAAAGCTCTATTGTGCCCGAAATCGATGAAATATACTGTAGATAGGTAGCTCTTCAAATAATTAAACCACTTGATTTTTAAGATCTACCTCAAAAACAAAGAAGAATTAAAAAACAAAATCAAAGCAGAAATTTTATTTTTATAAACTAATATTTGAATATAAAATGAAAATAAAAGGGTTGTGGTAAACTTCCCCTTAAAAAGAAGAAAAGAAAAGAGATTTATATTGCATGAGGTGAGCTAGGCAGAGACCAGAAACAAACTTTACCAAAACGAAGTTTACCAAAAGCGTGGTTTAGCTACGAATCCAAGAAGGCTCCAAACCAAAAAGCTTATCGCCTCGGTTTTGGGCGGCTGATGTTCGGGGTGGTGGTGCATGTACCGTGATTGGAAGAATCCATTCGCTTTTTTCCCGTTCTGGGATTAACAACGGATGTTCGTACCTGTAAAATTACCAGAAAACAGAACCAGAAACTTACTTCAACAACTTGAGCATTTCAAATATAGACTGAACCAGAGATTGAAAGAGAATGAATCTTCGCGTTAGAAATCCGTTTTTGAGTTTTGGGAGTAATACCTGCTTAAGTCCACATTCTTCGGGGTAATTAGGAACTCAAACCGTAGAATCCATTGCACAGAAACACGAGGTGTAGTAAAAGACATCGGACCATCCGTGGGAATCGAAAACAGAAAGCTTGTCTGAATAAGGTCGGCCACCACCTCATGGTGATCACTTTGGATCTGTTAAACCAAAAAATCACATTAGCATTGTGGTAGTAAAAATCTCAATTGCAGAGACGCAGCATCTAAAGACCAATAGTAGAAAAATAATACATTTATACCTTAGTAAGTGTTGGAGAATTCCTCCTAGACGGATGAACAAATCTTCTATTTATTGTCTCTATCGTTTCTAAGGTAATTGAGACCTGGAAACAGATATTGATGATTAATTCTAATAAACCTTTGATAAAGCCTCTAACTTTAGAATATACACAAGAAGTTCTGTATTTTATGGATTTACCTCGAGGCATCTTCTGGCTCCTTCTTCATGGAAGAAAGTAAGAGTTCCACCAATCTGCAAACGATTACCATTCGAAGAAGCGGTTAAGATGCAGGAAATTTATTGAAAAAATGTGAAATGACAAATGAAACTGCCATTACAGTATCGCTGAAGTAATAAGTAGAGTCGGCATTCTTTGGGGAAAATCTAAGAAGGACTTGGTCATCCATTCTAATGTTGTATGATCTTCCTCTTGTAAATCCTTCTGCTGCAAGAAAATGATTGCACTGGATAAGTTTTTAGAATCAAAAGAAAAAGAAGAGTACAAACTAGGAGAAGGTTAAAAGAGTTAACTAGTTTACATGGAATTGGTTCTCCAGCTCCAGCTTCAGGTGACATCGAAGCTCCTGGGCCATTTGTTTGCTTGGGCTGTTGGGTCGGAATCACAGCACTTGATGACTTATCAGGCGAAAATCCATCTAGTAGGAAAAAGATGGAAGCATTCTTCAGTAATCCATCCCTTTCTCACCAGTTCAATATTATAGAGCTAATAAACAAAGTAGATAATGGGATCTTTTTTCAAAATAGCATCTTTCAACGATTATTGTTATTTCTGAAGAGCACTATTTTCAGAATTTGTTTGAAACGAGCGTTCTACTGAAGACAGAAACACATGTGTTGACGAGGTAAGCCTTTTACAACCTCTCCGGTAGAAAACAGAGTGGTTCCATTAAGTGGTGTCATTCTCAGTGAGTCAGTAAACATGCTGTTTTTAGGCAAGTACAAGCACATTAAACACTTACCAGTTCCAGAATCATAAGACACTACGGCAGCTGATAACTGAGAAAGCATCATTTTTGGAGATGATCCGACACCTTCAATATATGACGTCTCTTTCATTGATAATCGCGGTCCAGAATTCAAGGACAACGAACTGCCAAAGGCTCTGTTTAAATTTCCTTTGTTGGGATAGGAAGAAACAGACAAGATCTCATCGCGTGAACTGTCATATCCATCCTCACCACTATCATATGGGTCATTTGCTCTAGTCTGCATTCAATGCATTTGGGTTCTTTGTTATTATGTTGACCAGCATGCAAATGAAACACTAAGTATAAAAAGCAATAATAGAAGATAAAAAGTAAAATGGCACAGTTGTGAGCATGACATACCCATTCAGAGTCTCCATCCATCTCTTTCCAGTATATTTCTGTCTGAATTGTAGTGGTTGGAACAATCCCTAAGAAAAAATGTAAGTCCCCATCAGGTTGCACTGCTAATGCCGTCCAAACATAAGGGAAAAAAAGCTTTCGTACGTTCTCTGATTTGTTGTCTTATGAATTCCCAATTTAAAACTTTAGAACAAAGCTTACCATCGGTTTGACTTTCCTCCAATAACAACCCGTTGTTCTTCTGAATTACCCATACCTGTATTGGGATTCGAGTCTCCTGTTGGTAAATAAAAAACAGGATTAAAGGTGTCTGTATTTTGCTAAATCTAAGGAGAAAATACATTATAGAAAAACAAGAGCGCTAACACCAAATGCATTCACTTAAATATTTTCCATTAAGCATCATGACAAAGGAAGCATGTAAACTGAATTTTATTTATAACATATAAACACTCCTGGACCCACTCCACAATCATGACATCCAGGTTTTGGGACACAATATAAATTTGAATAGCGTCAATTCTACTTGATAAAATAGATCTTATAACCAACTGACCGAACTACGAAACTCAATCCATTCACAAATCGGTAAAAAAACAAACAACGTACGTATATGTGACACCAAATTTCTTTCCAAGAACATCTTGACTAACCTATGTTTTATACCGCATGCTTCAACCTAATACTTTACACAGAAACCTGGTGCGTCTCCATTTCATCCCCACAGAGAAACAACAAGCTAGATGATTTAAGAATGTTTAATGACTCATACAAAGTGGTGTGAATCTCTTATTAATTAGGCATCACGCAGGCTAGAGACCTAGGGACGCCTGGCTTAGAATTATAGAAAGAAACGCAGTGTTGCAGTCTTATGCTCTTTTCTATAATAAAAAAAAAAGTCTTCACAAGAGAGCTACAAATGTTTGGGTCTATCGCAATTGCATTCGAGCAACCGGAGTAAATGAAACACAATGTATTGCACCTATAGCACTAAAGAGAACATGGAAAGTCAAGCAAACTAACCACTTGTATAAAATCTTTTGTCGAGTCTTTGAAAAATTGACTGTTTTCTAATGCCATCAATCTTCCGGTTAATGTGCTCTTGATGAAGTAATGGTATAGTAAAGTAGCACCTTTATAAGAAGGTGGTAATATCTCAGGGAGTATAGCTCGAACCATTACTGTATATGGATATCATAAATAAAGAAGCTTGTAAGCTCAAAGGTTGACATTGTAAGCCGTCAGCATCAAGCATAGTCTACGGTATTATTCATATAGTATTATAGAATCAGGGCAAAGATTACATGTCATCTTAGCACCAGGGGATAGGAGTTGATTTGAAATCAAGGATGGTGTTGAACTGTCTAGGAAGATGTGTTCACCTGAAAACCTCCAAGAAAATTATATGATTAGTACTTCAATACAAAAGTACACATAGATGGCACAGAACCTAGTATCGTTTTTCTCAAACTTTCCAGAGTGTGAGAGTGTGTGGGCGTGTGTATGTATGTCTACGCGTGTAACATCAAGAGTAACAATTTTGGAAATCTCATACACTGATGTAACATATAACAATTTCAATACAAAAGGCTCCTTGAATACCTCTTCGTCCTTTGCTTCCAGGTGATGGCTTTTGAGTAGAGAACCACTGAATGTCCAATTTCTCAACTCCTTTTACCTCAAAACTAAGCTTTTCAACCAAAATCGAGGGATTAGACCCGTTCTCATGATCCGTTACAGGAGAATAACCAACCTCAATAGTTACAAATATGGAATCTCCAGGCCTGTACACATCTTTATCCGTTTGCACACTTAGAGTTGGTTTGAGATTGCTTCCAGAAACACCCAAAGAGTCATTAACTTCGTTGGAACTGCCGATCCCCAGAAATGAAAACCTTGATGATAACATCGCTTCAATGGCTATATTCCTTAACAGATACAACTATTCAGCCGGAGGCACCAAACAAAGCATAGAAGCTGAGTTAACTAAATCCCTGAGGAGAATTTGATTTAGGCATAAACCCTGCCAAAAAATTGACGGAAGGAGAGTTTAGAAACCAGATGTATAGAAAATGCCTCAAAATGTAGAACTGAGAGCAAGCAAAACAATCATAAGGTACAGAACAAAGGCTCGCGAGACACAAGTGTGTTTCGAGATACCGATCATAGATCCAGGGACGATTCAGAGGGAATGTGCAAACTGTGCAGAAGAAGATGACTTACACGTGATGATTAGAATGATTACGTGACTTGGATGGAGTTGGAGCAGCAAACAAACCCGATTCAAGGTTCCTCCTTCCAAACACAAAATTGGTAGAAAGTAGCTCCAAGAATGGCGATCAATTACGTCAACGAAAACTCAGATCCAGAGAGAAGACGACGCGAATCGCGCAGATCACAGAACCAATCCGTGAGATTTGATTCCGAAAGATGGCAATAAATCGCTCACAGTCAGATTCACAGAGACTGAGCTTTCTACCTTCTCTCCGTGAAAACAAAAAACAGAGGTATATCAGGATGACGGCACCGGGAAAAAAGTCTTCGAAGCTGAGAGTCCGGCGACAGAATCCTCCGCCGCAAGAGTCTGAGGAAATGTCGAGAAAAGCTTAAAGGTTGAGATTTCTACAGTAAACCGGAGTGAATAAAAATTTCAGCTCCTGATCTGATTTTTTTTTTTACAACCAGCTCCTGACTAATTTTAGATGATTTTTCTAGTTAATTTTCCCCAAATGTTTAAGATTGTTATTTTTTATATTAAAAATCCATAATGATATATTTCCTCCATTTCATAGTATGGGTTTGTTTTAGAGGTCATTTGTAAAAGATAAATAATTGTCACATTTCAATGCAACTTTTATATTTATGGGATATTGTGTGATCAATTATAATTAGTTGATGTTTTTTATATATTAAATTTACTTTTAAAGAATTGTTTTTTTTTTACTTTGTACTTCTAGCCAAAACAAATATTATGAAATAGGAGTAAAAAACTAAGGAATGTATAGTGCCAACACCACCATGAAATTATAAAATTGTTACTGTTAATCTCTGATGATATTAGTTTATATCTGAGTAAACTTGAATTAACTTAGTTTATTGAACCGATGACAACTACAAGCAGTAAGAAAAATGCGTATTTCCTTGATAGAAAAGTTGAATGACCAATGTATTTTCGGCTCACCAACTGTTCAATTCAGTTGATATAATCCATAACCATGCCTATTTTTCATGTAATTCTTCAATAACCAAAGACCGGTTACATTTTTTCAACCAAGAACGGCCACTTTAATACTTTAATCGGCCTTTTTAAAGATATATAAGTTAAAGATTCTACAAGTCTAAAACTACAAGATGTGTAAAGGGGATATTAAAAAAAATATAAGCAAAAGGAATCAAAGGGTTTGTTTGTTTTGTTGTTGTCTTGTCGCTATAAAAAGACGCGTGATAAGCCGCTCCTGAAGCACGTGAACGCTCCAAGCCTCTCTCTCTCTGCTTCACTTGACACTTCACTTCACTTCTCTCTCTCTCTCTCTCTCTTTGTCCTCCTCTTTCCATGGCTCCATCTGTGCAGCCTTCTTCATCACCTCTTCGAACAAGGTTAGTAAAAACATCAACCTTTCATTCTATTGTAAAAAATAATCCTTTTTTATATTATTAGTCCAGAATGTCCTGATCTGGGTTTGTTCATGTCGTTTATTTATAATTATTTGAGCGTTTTGTTTTTCTTTTGGTTGCATGCACTGAATTTGAAAACAGTGAAGGAGATGAAAAATATGCGAATGTGAAATGGGAAGAGCTCGGATTCGCTCTGACTCCGACAGATCACATGTATGTGGCGAAATGCAGACAAGGAGAGAGCTTTTCACAAGGGAAGATTGTTCCTTATGGGGACATTTCAATTAGCCCTTGTTCTCCGATTCTTAATTATGGCCAGGTTTTGTTCTCTTATTCTTATAATCACTTATAAATTAATGGTTTTTCTTTTGATCTTCACCAAATCAATGTTAATTTGCTTTGTATGGTTGTGCAAGCTTTGCTAAATCTCACTGGATTATAGGACTTTTGGGTTTCATTAGAGCAGGATTCATTAGTTACAAGCTGTTAATCTCTCGATTCGAAACTATTGATACATAGATTGTGTAAAGCTGTTTGATTTGAGTGCATGAGCGAGCAAAAGCTTAGAACTTTAGTGTTTATTCATATATATGTAAGGGTTTGATACAAAACCTTTTGATATTGGTTTGGCTTTACAGGGACTATTCGAAGGTCTCAAAGCTTACAGGACAGAAGATGACCGGATTAGGATTTTCCGGCCTGACCAAAACGCTCTTCGTATGCAAACAGGTGCAGATAGGCTTTGTATGACACCACCTTCTGTGGAACTATTCGTCGAAGCAGTTAAGCAAACTGTGGCTGCTAACAAGAAATGGGTATGGACTATGGACCAATGTCTCTCTCTATTCCATTCGATATGAGTCTTGATCATAATCTAGTCTCATCTCTAGAAGTTCCTAAAAGGGTTTTATGGTTTTAGGTTCCTCCTCCGGGTAAAGGAGCTTTGTATGTAAGGCCTCTTCTAATAGGGAGTGGTGCTATTCTTGGAGTAGCTCCAGCACCTGAGTACACGTTCCTCATTTACGCATCTCCCGTAGGCGATTACCATAAGGTAAGTTTGTGTGTTGCTTTATTATATATTTGGTGAAATGAATATAGACTCTTTAAAGCTGAAATGGTTAAGCCGGTTATTATGTGTTGTAGGTAAGCACAGGCTTGAACCTTAAAGTTGATCATAAGTATCACCGAGCTCATTCAGGTGGAACAGGCGGTGTCAAGAGCTGCACGAACTATGCTCCAGTAAGTAAAGAGACACCAGAATTAAATATATCAGCCATGGCAACAAATTAATGAAAAATGTAGCTGTCTGATTTCTTCTTGTATAAATTGTTTGAAAGGTTGTTAAATCGATGGTGGAAGCAAAGTCATCGGGTTTCTCTGATGTCTTGTTCCTGGATGCAGCTACTGGTAGAAACATAGAAGAAGTTTCTACTTGTAACATCTTCATTGTCAAGGTAAAGAACACATGCATATAATATTTGAAGGTTTCAGCCTCTTGTAATCCTCTTCATAAACTTCTTATTTATCACTCGATTTATAGGGAAACATTGTCTCCACTCCACCAACTTCAGGAACCATTTTACCTGGAGTCACAAGGAAAAGCATGATCGAGCTAGCTCGTGATATAGGCTACCAGGTTAAAACATTTAATTCACTATCTAATACCATTTTGTATATTTTTCTAACAATCAGTATTCTGAGGCTGTGATTTGCAATGTATGACAGGTTCAAGAACGTGATGTTTCTGTGGAGGAGCTCCTAGAAGCAGAGGAAGTTTTCTGCACGGGAACTGCAGTGGTCGTGAAAGCTGTTGAAACTGTGACCTTCCATGACAAGAAGTAATTTTTAAAACATAAAAGATTCGTTTATTCAATCATCAATCTTTCTTAGTTAATGCTGATTTTGGGTCATATATATTTGTCTTTGACCACAGGGTAAAATACAGGACAGGAGAAGCAGCGTTGTCTACTAAGGTTCACTCGATGTTGACGAGTATTCAAATAGGTCTTGTTGAAGATACCAAAGGTTGGATGGTGGAGATCGATCGTTGTCAAGGTTGAAAAGCTGATGCATATTGGATTGCTTGCTCAATATGTAACTTTTCTCTTAGTGTTTTCTTTGTTTTGCACTTTCTTTTTCTTTTATGAGACTTGTTATGAAGAACTCTCAAGATACATGATGCAAAATGATCACAAAATGATCACAGTTACAAGGTCATATACCAACATCGTTCAACAAGGGACTTAAGGACCGTCAGGAAGAAAACTAGAAAAGCAAACCCTATAAAAAAAAAAAATAGGATATACAATTTATGTAATGGAAATTGAAACTAAACTCTCATTGTGAGAATGAACAACTTTAATATGTACATTTTTTTCTTCTATCATGTACATTATTATTGTTGTTATTATTTTATGAAAAAAGCGAATTTGTGATCCAACTCCTAACACCTTGGTGATCAAGATCGAAGTATCTCTTAGTCGTCTAATTTGTGGATGCGTATAGAAAAATATTATCTATTTTATGTTAGTGTTGTGCTGAATGATTTGAAAAAACAGGTGTTTTATGCGAGTGATGATATATAAGGTGTAGCAGTTCAGACAGAGACATAGGTGGAACTGATACAATTGCTGAAACGTATGTGATGCAGGTATGAGTGGAACAGATGCAAAGGCAGTGTTTTATGCGAGTGATGATCAATGATCAACACATGATGGACATACATTGTGGTGATCAAAAATATTGCAGTTAGATACATCGGCGGTTGTATCAGACGTTGAGTTAGTCGATGAGTTAGTCGATGAGTTAGTGGATGAACCAGTTGTCGTATCAAGAGGCAAAAATTTGACGTGGCGCAGAAGCTCACGTGGCAAGTGACTTGCTGAGCTGGATGAAATCACTAGAACGTATATCTGGTGTGACAGATATGGTAAATAGATAAATTTTGGGAGTAAATTGTATCGATCCAAATCTGTTAAAAATCCTAGGGTTTATGATCAATATATATACCAAGAGGTCGGTCTCATAAAGATTGGACGTGCCTAGGATATTACCGAGAGATGCATACAGGTGTATGGCATCGTTCCATCATGCAGGATTTGTACATCTATTGGTGATGGTTTATAGAATACAAACACATCTGTGAGATGGTGTTTGTATCGGTTGTACCCGAGCGGTAGTCTTTGTAGAGATATTGTGTCCATAAGTTCTCCATCTAGAAAAAATGGTAGAGTATTGGATACCATAACAATTGTAATTGTAATCTTATTCTAGTGGATTTATTTTGGATTAGATCCGAGAAAATCCGAACCTCTTTAAAAAACTTTGTGTGCTTCTTACTTTATGCTTATTGAATGTTTGTTATGTTGTCTCATCATACACATACACAGATAGACTAGGTCACAAATATGGACTTTCATTTTATTTTCTTAAAGCAACGATGTGCATATATATATACCTTTAACATATATTACAATATTCCTAAACTGTTTAATACACATTGTATTATACATAAATTAAAGACCCGCAATGGTCTATAATAGACCGTCTAGTGGTCTTCAAATATAGTAAGAAATTAAGTAATATTTTATATCGTATTTTGTTGTGAACATAGACTTTGGCACTTTGCTAAAGACAAAAATGCCAAAATTAAAGAATACCAAACTTTTATTTTCTATCAAGAAAATGGAGTATCATTTTTTCAAAAACTTTAATGAGAAAGTTTGTTCTTTTGACCAAAAATGAAACTTTGGTATTTTTGGCCTTTTTTAACAATGACTCTACTATGAATACGTAAATTAAAAAGAATGGCCAATGGGTGGTGACCAAATAAAAGAAAAAGAGTAATGGAGAAATCGAAAGGTTTGTTTGTTGTTGTCCCTATAAAATGAGGCGAAATAAGTATTCACAAAACACAGCACCTCTCCAAAGCTCAAACCACATTCTTGCTCTCATTGTCTTACTCTATCCAATGGCTCTTTCTGTGCAGCCTTCTTCATCACCTCTTCTTACAAGGTTAAACGTATCAGCTTCTATAAATATCATTTGTTCTTTTCTTTTTATAACTTTTTATCATTTGTTCTTAAGAGTCTTAGTTACTGTTTAGGGAAATTTTGATAGGTTCGAATGAAAGACAGTTCTACTGATCGATAAGAGAAAAAAAGATCTTTATTCCAATAACAACGCTCCGAACTACAAATATATCGCAGGTGCTAAGCTATTGCTCAAATATGTTCTTTAGGGTTTTTCTGCTCTTCTTTCTCCCTCCTCTATCTTTCGGGAGCTCCTCCTTTTATAAGTATATCCCAAACCCTAATCCTTATTGGATTATGATGACGTGTAGATTATTAGTCGATATCTCTAGAAGGTTCTGACCTTTTGTCTTTAAGCTTCTCCTTATTCGAACCTTCTGTTAGTCGAACATTTTTCTTATTATTTGGATCTCATGTCGGTCTACGTATTCGGACCTTACGTGGGCCGAACCTTTTACGGGTCGAACCTACCCGATAGGTACTATAAGTGATTTTATTTTGTCCAACAGTTATAAGAATTTTGATTATGAGACCGAGGCATGTAGCTTAATAGTTTGTACTACTGTCTATAAACTCTTTTACTTGTTTGAGTGTTTTTCATTTTGCTGTTTTTTTTTTAATATACGGGTTTAATAATATTTTTTCTCCTTTTGCCTATCAAAACAGTGAAGCAGATGAAAAATATGCGAATGTGAAATGGGAAGAGCTTGGATTCGCTCTGATTCCAACAGATTATATGTATGTGGCAAAATGCAAACAAGGAGAGAGCTTTTCAACAGGAGAGATTATTCCTTATGGGGACATTTCAATCAGCCCTTGTTCTGGGATTCTCAATTATGGCCAGGTTTTATTCTCTCTTAATATTTGCTAAAACTTACTTATATTTTTTGTATGATCGATCTTCTTTCATACAAATCAATGCAAAAATTCCATATCAAGCCGCGTCTAATATTTTGAGATCGGTTTCCCCTTTTCAATTCGGATCCGGTTTTGGTTTTTTTTAAAAATAAACCATTTAATCAAATTCAAACTCCTTTTAGTTTCTGACCCGGTTTGTCATCTCAGTTTGATTTAGATCAGATTGGTTTAGTTTATCCAGATTAAAAAATACTACTAAGCAAAAGCTTTTAATATTATGTTAACGTATGAGAGTTTGATATTGGCTTGGATTTGTAGGGCCTATTTGAAGGTCTAAAGGCATACAGAGCAAAAAATGGATGTATCACACCCTTCCGGCCAAACCAAAACGCTCTTCGTATGCAAACAGGTGCTGATAGGCTTTGTATGACATCTCCTTCTGAGGAGCAATTCGTCGAAGCAGTAAAGCAAACTGTGCTTGCCAACAAGAAATGGGTATGGACTATATGGACCAATGTGTCTCTTTATTCCATTAGACCACTTGCTATAATCTCGAGGATTAGCCAAAGAATGTTATGGTTTATGTTTCTTTAGGTTCCTCCTTCTGGTAAAGGAGCTTTGTATATAAGGCCGTTGCTGATAGGCACTGGTGCTGTCCTTGGGGTTGCTTCGGCACCTGAATATACCTTCCTCATTTACGTATCTCCCGTCGGAAATTACCATGCGGTGAGTTTGTGTATGTTATTCAAATACTAGATCTGTGAAGTAAACTCGGTCTCATAGGACCGGCTCAATAGTACTAAAAAAATCTTAGAAGGGCTATTTAATATTTTAAACATTGGTCCAATCTGTATGTATATATCTTTGAAGAAAAAAAAAAATGGACTCTAAATAATCGACAATGTTATGTTTTCTTGTGGAACCATATGCACTAGCACTGTTATATTGTGACTGTTAAGTGTTCACATTGTAGGCAAGCTCAGGCTTGAACCTCAAAGTTGATCATACCTATCGCCGTGCCCATACCGGTGGCACCGGCAGTGTGAAGAGCTGCTCAAACTATTCGCCAGTAAGTAGAGATACATAATATGTAAATATCAATGGTAGTAAGTTATTTATGAAATTATTATTTATTTAAATCCTTTTTTGTATATCTAATCAGATTTTTTTTGTTCTGAAGGTTGTGAAATCATTGCTCGAAGCAAAGTCATCGGGTTTCTCTGATATCTTGTTCCTGGATGCGGCAACGGGTAGAAACATCGAAGAGATTTCTACTTGTAACATCTTCATTGTCAAGGTATAAGAACATTTAACATCTATCAGATGTAATAGAAAATTTTGAACCTTTAGATTCCTTTGCATAAACTTATTAGTAATCCGTCATTTTTATATAGGGAAATATTGTGTCCACTCCACCAACTTCAGGAACCATTTTACCAGGAATCACAAGGAAAAGCATAAGCGAACTAGGCCGTGATATCGGCTACCAGGTTCGAGCTCTGTACAATAACACCCTTTTGTAAGTAGAAATTTTCACGGTTTCAAGATTCGTAGATTTTGATTCAAAAGGTATCACACAGGTTCAAGAACGTGATGTTTCTGTGGATGAGCTATTAGAGGCAGAAGAAGTTTTCTGCACAGGGACTGCAATGGTCGTTAAAGCTGTTGAAACTGTGACTTTCCACAACAAAAAGTGATTAGTTTTTTTTTTTTGATAAACTTAGAAGACCCTTTCATTAAGCTTCAATCTTTCGCACTCTAGAGTTACTGAATGTTTGCTTTTGGTTTATATCTATCTTTACCCGTAGGAAAAAATACAGGACAGGAAAAGAAGCATTGTCTACCAAGCTTCACTTGATGTTAACAAATATTCAGATGGGCATTGTTGAAGACAAGAAGGGTTGGATGGTGGAGATTGATGGTTATGTTCCCGGCACAAAGAAAGAAATATCAAAGACTTGAGTTTGAGCTCATCAAAATTTCACTTTCAAACTCCACGTTTAGCTTTGATTGATATAATATTATTTTTAATGATTGAATGATTTTACAAATTTCGAGTTTTATCCAACTAGTATGATATTATGTGAGCTAGCTAACAAAATATGTAATTTTCTAATTGAAATAAAGTTTATTAAAACTAAAATGTAACACTACAAAATCGTAATACAAAATAAAATTTGACAAGATTATTAAGAAAAACAAACTTATTATAACTAAAAACAGGTGACAAAAAAAAACTAAAAACAGGGTAAAATGACAGGAATTTGTCATTTTATGGACTAGCAAGTTTCAGTAAAATATTATTGGTTTTTCTTGCTTAATACTTTTATCATTATTTTTTACAAATTAATTTAGTCTTTTTTTTTTAAATTACAATTTCGCTGTTTTATAGTGTAAATGATCGTAGCTATTTTCTAAGGCTAAGTAACAAGGAACACCGAAAAACTTAGCCAAAGAAGAAAGCAAAGTAGAACAAATTGCAACACTTCCCACTTCCCACTTTCTTATCTCCTTCTTTGTAGGATCGACCAATTGTTTTCCTTTGTGTATTTAAAGGCCTCATGGTTAAGATAATGAAGCAGACTTGAAATTGAAGAGAATAGTGTTGTGTTCTTATTTTCTGATCAACATTTGATAACCCTATATGTGGGACCTATCAGATTTGGCTGTCTTGATTGTTCTATAGTTGTTAGTTCCTATTCAATTTGTGGGTAGCAAAATGAGTTTCTTTTATTTACTTTTGCAACACTCCCGAAGCTCTAAGCTTTTACATTTTAGTTCACTTCGTTGGACATTATAAGTCTTCGTGAAGTTTTTTTCCTTTTAAGTGCGCATAATTTATTTCGTTTTGGCATAATGTTGGGATGTCTGAGGTCTTAAAGTTCGTTAATAGCTAACGACCATTCACGGAGTTGCTTGCTTTTCTTTATTGTAGAAAAATAAAGAAACAAAATTGACAGCTGTGGGATTTGAACCCACGCCCTTTCGGACCAGAGCCTAAATCTGGCGCCTTAGACCACTCGGCCAAACTGTCCATGTCTGTTTACACTGGTTATATATTAATAGACTTTTTACTTGACGCATTCTCGTAACACTTGCGTGCACTACAAGCATCTATTCCACAGTTGCACCCAATTGTTTATCACGTTTGGTTTTGAAAGTTTTCCGATTATAAAAGCAAACGTAGCTACTAGCCTACTACCAAAGTTTTAATAAATCTGTTATAATTTTGACGTTAAAGTTGTTATGGAATATCGACATTAGGTTCTATCACCAAATAATTAGTTTTTTTTTTCTCTAGATTTAATAACATTTCTCCCTAATCCATTCTTATACGCAACAATTTCCAATTATTATCTTCCATCATCCAAAAAATCTGGAGTCGATTTAGATTGACTAATTGTTACTTTTTACATTTTAAGTAGGTTTTGAATGGAGTATTGATTCTCATTGGCAGGGTTCGCGTTCTTCGGTGTCCACTTTTTCATTTGTCCAATTCTAGGGTTCACGACATGAGAAGGAAAAGAGTTAGAAAACCCAAACAACTATGACAAGTCACAAAGAAAAATCTTACTGACTGACCTCTATAGTAGACGGGTAGTCACACATCATGATAGACGCCTTTCTTTCAGAGTTTTTGGGTGAAGGCAGCCGTTGCCATAGCTCTTCAGTAACAAAGGGCATAAGCGGGTGATGCAGTCTTAAACCAGTCTCCAGAGATACCCAGAGAGCATGCTGTGCATGAGTTCTCTCTGAAGCAAACGTCGGGTTGTCACCATCAAAATAACGCTTGATTGCTTCAATGTACACATCACAGAACTGATATTGCCACTATGCATACACTGTGTTGGCTGCATCCGACAACTCAAATGCATTCAGTGACTCCACTGTCTTTGATACTGCCTTATTTAGTACAGAGAAAATCCATTGGCAGCTGAATGGCATGGTTTCAGGAAGAGATGTCAAAATGGTTGTCCATGTCCATTTTGGCCCGTCCAATTGTCCTGGTTGCAGACAAATGGTGTCCATCAATGACCATATCCATTGACTACCATGTCACTAACGACCATGCCCATTAACGACCATATTTAAATGGGCTGTCCATAGGTGTCCACTGGACACAGAATATAACATATTATTTGGTTTTGTTTTTTTCTTTGTTTTATAGACAATTTTTCATTTTTTGTATTTTTTTTGCAGGAAAAACACATAAAAAATTACATATTTTGCGCGAAAACATGATTTTGCAGATTTGGCGGGGAAATTGTTTCTGCTTTTTGCCGAGAAAGTGGAATTTTGCTTTTTTGGCAGGAAATCGAGATTTTGTGTTTTTGGCACAAAATCGAGATTTTGCATTTTTAGCGGGAAACCGAAATTTTTCGTTTATGGCGAGAAACCGAGATTTCTATTTTTGGGGGAATTTGAGATTTTACGGTTTTAGCGGAAAATCAAATTTTGCTTTTTGGCAAAAAACTGAGATTTTTCTTTCTGTCGGAAAATCAAGTTTTTTTTTTTGTTTTTGGCATGAAATCAAAATTTTCCGCTTTTGTTTTATTAAAAAAATTTCGTTTGATATTAATTATTATAACCTAATATATAAAAGTTGGGTTGTCTTGACACATCAGCTTTTCTCCTTATGACACAACAACAACTTTAATTGTATTTTAGTGGCCATTTGTCTTCAAAAATCGTAAAATCAATCATCAGTTCATTGGTGACCGAGAATATTTAACGTTTTGAGAAGACCTTTAAGTCCAATACCTACTCTTTTCTCGATGCATTAAATTTTACAGAGTGGTCAATGTTATAAGAGTGAAAACAATCATGACCTACTTATTTTCTCTGTTATCTAAGATATTTGTTTGAAATTAAGAGTTTGATACGAAAAAGAATGGGTAGATGTGAACTTCAAAGATAGAAGAAGTCAAGACATTCGAAGAATTGATGTTGGCAATGACGTCCGGTGAGTACATAAACGAGCACAAAAATTAACCAAAAGCAAAAAGTATCAAGAAAGAGGTGGTCAATAGTTACTAAAAGTTTGATTCTCTTCGTCCTTCGGGCTTCTACTTAAATCACTCCCATGCAAGTTTTCTCAGATTTCATTCCATACAATTCCAACAGGTTTTAAGATCATGCTGTTTTATGCAATGAGATACCGATTGTCTCTTTTTCCCACAGAAAGGTTGTAATTCAAACAGATGACCACAATTTAGCTATTCTTTCATCCTGCTCGTCATTCCTCTTTGTAATTGTCATCACACCCTTATTACATAGGTCTAGCATGTAGGGTTCTAATTATTCCTCCAAATTAATTTAAAAAATTTGAGATAAACATACACTTGTCGAAATAATTCTTCTGAAAAGGTGTGATTCATCTCCCTATAAATCAACTAATGTATATCTCTTTATATACACGTTATCTAAGTTAGATTACTAAAACAAATAAAAGACAGAGAAAAGAAGGGGAGCAGTAAGAGGCCAAGAGAGAGAAGAGGATAAATAAGGGGAAAAAATAAGAAGAAAAGGAGTCGTGAAAGGAAGAATAGCTGAGAAGAGAGGAGATGTGTGAGAAGGAACCAAGGAAGAAGAGAAAGAAAGGAGAGAAGAGAGAGAGGAGGAGATTAATGAATGCAAAGAGAAAGGGAGGAAGCAGAAACAACACATAAACAAGCGTAAGGAGAGTAAGTGTCGGGAAATCAGAATCGGAGGCCAAAAAGGTCGCAGAGAAGGAATGGACCATCACCACCGCAAAGGAGAAGAGTTGAGAAAGATAGATCTGTTTGTGGAAGTAAGGAAAATAAGAAGCAAAGCAGATCAGAGTGGGTATAAAATACGATGTCAATTACTAGCCCAACAGAGAATCAAAGATGACATAAAAAAAGCTTTCGACAATTGATCCATGCATGGAGAGCGCCAATAAGATTCAATTTGGAGGCTTCTCATTACTTTTTTCCAGATCACCTGATTTTATATTTGGTTGGTTTTTTGTATTTCTTGCTTGGTCTGGTAGATCTTCACTTGGCCAGTGGTGGAGCAACTGCATGCTTTATGAGACGAAATTGAAAAATATTGTATTGCTATATTTGTGATTATGTTTAGAATATAGTAGTTGATCAATAAGTAGCTATGTTATCACACAGCTTAAGAGCTTTTTTATTATAATTTACTAAAGTTCATTTATTTTTTCATGATGTAAAGTTTATGTTTTTGGATAAGTATCAAAATTTGTTTTAGCAAATTTATGGTTAAAATAATAATAAAAATATATTAAATCCTAGTACATTTTTCATCTAAATTCTTATGACCTGCTAAACGGAGCTAAATGTATTTTCCCATGTTCGAAAAAACAAATTGTTGAAATATTGGCACCAAACCATGTAGGAAGCTAAGTGGAACGGAGGAAGAAGGAGTGAATAGTAAAATGTTGATGCTTAAAAAAATCTATAAGAGTGTGTGTACGGTATTTAGATGGATTGGATTAGCATTGTTTTTTGGTGATTTCATTGGCAACTGTTACCGTATAATTAGGTTTTTGAGAACTAAAAATCTAACATAGCAAAAGAGTTTTCAAAATGGGTTTAGAGATTAACGTATATCCAAATGTTACAACAATTATTTTTAACGATATGAAACAAAAAAAAAATCTATATGATTCTGGTTAACAGAGAGCTAAAAAGTTTTCATTAGAGTTGAGAGAGGTGAGCATAATATAATATAGTCTATAATACATCGATGGGGTTAAACTATAGATTTTTAGAACAATTTAATATTAAAAAACAAAACACGAATTTATCGATTTTCAACTAAGGGTAATCAATAGATTTTTGCATGGTGTTAAAGTCACTGATATATAAAATAAAAAATGCATTACAAAAATCTCGTGTGTATATGCGGGTATCCATCTAGTCATATTTTAAAATTTGAACAGTAGCAATATTAACTTTAAATCATTCATTAAA